ATCTTTATCTCTCTTCTCTCTCTCTCTCTCTCTCTCTCTCTCTCTCGCACTGGTACAGACATAAACAGGGTATTTGGAGGATAGTTGGGGCAGTCGGTGATTGGCACGTATTGCTTCGTGCGATGTTCGAAAAAATGGTGATTCGTTCCTTTACGGATCGGCATTGTCCTCGCTGCCCAGCGGCTTTGTCAAAATGACCGCTTTTGGCGGGCTGCGTACGGTGCGGGCGGATGAGAAACGAAGAGCAGGTGAACAATCATCGTCGTGTCCCGACTAAACTCTACTTTCTTCTTTTTTCTAGTGATAACCAATCGCGAGAGGGAGAGTTGGGCTTTAGTTTGAAGTTTCGCTTCAGACGAATCGCATCTCGATTTTGTAACGTGATCTGTCTAACCGTGAACGAAGCATGTGTGTCGTGGAAATTTTGATTATATATATATATATATCGCGCGAAGCATACATATAAATATATATTTTTCGACATAGGGACAAATATATTTCCGTGCATGTGTAAATATATTACGTATCGACGTTGTGCTTCTTTCTCGGAAAGGGAGAGATTACGTGCTGCAGGTCCGATCTTGCCGATCTCGCATGTTAAAAAGTCTTTTCTTTTCCTTTGCATACGAGATAGGGAGAACGGATTACGCGCGTTGTTTCCATCGCGGGAAACTTCGCAGATCCTATGTTTTATGCAGGTGTTGCAAACTTTCAGATGGGAACGCGCGCGTCTTGTTTAGGGGTACACAACGATATGCAGACTTTCCGAAAAGTCAAGAAGCGTTGACAGACGTCTTCCGATCGTCCGGCACCGCTTCTCGAAATTCCTGGCCGCTCTTTCGGTTCGTACGTTTCGGACCTTTCCCTCTCACTATATTATATCATAGCGAAATAATCGATCTGGACGTGACTTCGTCGAGAAGGCACGCCGAGGCGCTACGTTCACTAAGAAGAGATAGTTAATTTAACTAGGCTAGAGATTTTTCAGAGGAGACGAATACTTAAAAATCAGAATCTTTACACTGTTACGAAACCGTTAACGATCTGTAAACCACGCAAGTAATGACAACAAGGGATGGAGCTTGCGGATATTCAGATGCCTATTGTTTCGATGCAGCAGAAACGTTTTCAACTATTGATTGCAGTATTACTAAATGTATACAGATTAAATGTAACACTACACACACTCCTACACGCAAAACACGTACAAACACTGTCAATATACACTCGCGCAACCTACGAGAAGACTTTGTAAATAGTTAGAATAATTGATATTATAGGCGCCAAGATGTATTAAGGATAACATCAAATTTATTCAGAATAAATCTTCCGAAATATCACATAAATGTCTGTTAATTTTGCATATTTCAAAAATCCTCTTAATTATATTTTATACAAATGAGTATAAGAAAGATCAAGTTATTCTTTATGAAATATAAAAATCTTATGTATGGTATATATATTTTACATGTGTATAATGATGATGTCACACATATATGGTCTTTTTTTATTTATTGATACATGTTATATTAAATGTTCTAAGATTTGTAAGTTTTTTAATGAACCACAAAAATGAAAAAAAGATTTATAATTTATTTTCTAGAAATAATTTATACATATGTTTTATTATGATTTAAATTACATATTTACATACATTTATCTCTTGCTCTTATTTATTGATGTGTGTTAATAAATGCCTCTTCAAATCTGGCATATTTTTCGGTTGCATTGAGCATTTGTAACACTTCAAATCTGTTTTCAAATAGTCCATACACTTTTGCATAGAAATCTTTTTGATTTCGCCTTCTTCACGCAATTCACGACATACATCTGAAATTTAATTTGCTTCTAAATTTGTATTTAAGAGATTATAATATATGTCTGTTTTAGTATGTAAAAAGATAACAAACTTGATGAATGTAAGAAGAATGGTGTCGTAAATGAATTCCAATGATTCTTGGTTTTAAGGCAAGGGCTATTAAAATCCGTGCTTATTAGATGTAAGTGCAATCTTTGCATACTTGGCATCGCATGATAACCTATGCTATTCAAAAATTTAAAAGGACTAAATATTCCAATAAAATTACAAAATAAAATATTTTCACATTATTTGTAAAGTATTTGCTATGACAATTGTGTACTAATATGACAGATATACAATTGTCAAAATGAGTAATCTTCACAATGATAATCATTTACAAAGCACAATGACAGATCAATTAAAGAATCAATTGGAAAAGAGGCAACAATAACATTCAATATATTCAAATTTATACTGATTTAACATATTCTTTTAAAAGCAGATAGTATTATGTATTATTATAGGATAGATTGCTATTTACTTTATCATTATTATTGTTTTATTTTAATCTAAAACTCACATAAACTCATGATCCGTTTGATCTTTTACAAGACCACAAGCAACATTATGCATATGCATTAGTAAATCTTGATGATCCTTTTTAACGTGCCATATAGAGAGAATATTCTCCTTTGGTAAGATTAAGTAATGAAATTGTGCTTTAGGATATTTATCTTTAATGACAATTATTTTGTCATCTTCCTTGATTTTATATTCAGGATCCTCTATTGATTGAAGTAAACCAGCTGTCCAATGATGTTTTTTTGCAGTCGTTGGTTTACTCATTGTTAGTTTAGATGTGACTTTACGTTTCATTATTGTAATTCCAAATCGTCCTTATGTTGTTAAATGTTGACAAAAATCCACCTAAAATTTTTTTATACATATATAACTGTTATATATATTTTACATAAATTATGAAATAAAAATACATATTACGTATTTGAATACATACTATGTATTTGAAATGGTATCGAAACAATGCAATAAATCCAATTGCAAAAATTTATACATTGTTAACTAACAATAAACATTTTATTCCTCAGAAAATAATTAATAATTGTCATACCTGATGCTGAAATGTCATACAGTCGATTACAAGGTTAATTTTTCTAACCAACGATTTATTATTTAATTGTATACATCAGACTTTGATTTTTGATAATGATATGTATCGCATTGCTTGGATTATATATACGTTAATAAAAAATACACACATCAATTAAATACAATAATTTAAGCAAACAGAGATACAAAGGCTCCAACCAGATATTATTAAAGATCAATCTAGGCAAATTTTTCGTCAAAGAAGCCTGGACGATCCGAAGATAATTGAAGAGCATCGATGTTACCGATTATTGATATAAATTTATGATTGTTAACATAAATGGATAAATGGTCAGTGTAGAGTTTCTTTCCTGTATATATCAATAAAAATACACTCGATCAATATTTTGTGTAGAATTATAAACTTAAAAAGGAAAAATTCATTGCTCGTGGTTCGAACAAAATAATTAAACGTTAAAGATAACACTTGTTGAAGTTAAAAAAATCTGTTATATCGATATATATCGACTATATTAAGACTGCGTTCGGGGAGTGCGCTATTAGTGCGCTATTAGTGCTATTCATAATACATCATTTCATCTTTATTGCATTATATGCAAATTAAGGGTAGAATGATGCGATAGTTCTAATAGCGCGCTTCCCGAACTCAGCTTAAGGCGATATGGACAAACATTAGCTTGGTCTACAATAGATGATTTAAAGCTTAAGCCATAAGAAATGAACGAATCGAACGGTCGAAGAATAGGAGACTATGAGAATATTTGACTATGATTGATCAATTTCTTATGGCTTAAGGCTTAAATCACCTATTGTAGATCGGGACGTACAGTCGAAATGCGGGCAAAATTTGAAATATGTTGATTAATTATAATATAATTAAACCCATATGGAATTGTATAAAAGTATTTGGGTGAGCATTATGGTAAAACTCTTCTCAAGGGACGGTATCCCCAATGATCTTTATTTTACAGATAGAATAAATTTTACTTTATGAAGAAAATTAAAAATCTATATGGAACAATTACAGATCACGTCTTGCATTGAAACTATATAATGATCAGTGAACTCGTTGTAGATTGTAAATTGTAAAGGAAGTAATTACTAAACAAAATTGCTTGTTTAATTATATATTTTAACATACAAAAGAAATCAAAGTCAAAGTTTTTTCTATTACTATCGCTACTTTACTTAGTTAATAATGTAATGAAATCATCTTGTCATCTATTACAGTCAAAACATCTACATCTATATTTATTAACAAAATCATTATAAAAGCGATAATTATTGCGAATATCCTAAAATGATAACAGATTTTTCTGTCTAGTCTAACTCGTTCCATCAGCCCATAGGCGAGCACTCTGATACAATTATTATTACCGGATATTTAATATATAATGTTGATTAAATGAGATTGATTTTAAATAAAGAATTCTGCAATATAATACAAATAAGTTCATTTCGTTAAAAATTGTTTCAACATTAATACAGTCAATCAATTACGGGAAAATTATTAATAAAAGCTTTGAATTTTTTTGTTTTGCACAAAGCTTGTCACAGTTTATATATCATTAAGTCTATGTAGCCTTCTCATTAATTTTACCTTCTCATTAGACTAATAAAAATTTATATTTTTCATCATTTGTGTTAACGGTTGTAGAGATATATCCTACTTGGTACTTCCATCAATTTCATCAGAATTTAAATACTCATTATTATTATGATATGTGAAGGCGTCCGGAACTAAACTTGGATAATTACTGTTAAATGCATTATTAACTTGCAAGGTCTGTTCTGATGAATTTGTCATTTGTATGTTTTGAATTGTTTCATTTCAACTACCTACATTTGCATGCAAAGCGTATAAGTAATGCAAAGACTATAAATTGGAATTGGCGTCAAAATAATAAGTAAAAAATATGAATTTTTAAATTTATACATTATATACATTATATGATTATATCAAAATTAAAGATATTATTACCGAAATATTTAAAAATGTTTGGGTTCATATTGACAATGTATGGAAATGTGATCAATCAAATATCAAAATTTTTATACATTACTATAATTTAATATTAAATACGTAAAAACAATTTTTAATTAACAAGATTTGATATTGACTTAATTAATCGAAAGAAATTCAATAGTAACGTTTATAACATATTTTTATAAAGCATCCATATTAAACATTCAATTATAGTTTTATATAAAAATTATAGCGAACAAATGTAAAGAATTAAGAATCATATTTTTCATATTTATATTTGATTTTCAATTACTGGAAAATAACTTTCACAACATTTACCATTGATTTCCTTCATACTCTGCGGTTTGCGATTCTGCGCCTGTTTGATGACTTGCATTTGCATTAAGTTCATCAATCAATCGTTGTGCCCTTTTATCCACCATAATTCCTTCACTTATTCCATTAATATCTGCATTAGTTAAATAATTGTTTGTATTATGACGTGCATCTGTGTCAAAAATGTCATAATTTGATGTAGTATCGGTTTGTAACGTATTCGAAGTATTCACCGTCAATAGTTGGTCATCATACACTGTCCAATAATACAACCTATAGGTAATAGGTAATAAAAAGATGTAAAAATTTATCAGGTGCAGTAAAATAATTAGTATTTATAAAAGAAATATAAATTGCTTTTTTCGGATTACGCTAAGCTTGAAGTATGTAATGCTATACTCTTAGTCTAATATACTAATAAAGACATTCGATGCAATTATAAAGAATTCGCGAAAAAGTCAAATTTGAAATAATTTATATGTACATATTTATATATTTGTTTGTCAATTACTGAAAATCTTTTGCAATATTTACCATTGATTTCTTTCATACTCTGTGGTTTGCGATTCTGTGCAAATTTGATTAAAACCTGTACTTGCATTAATATGTTCATTTACCGATTGTCCATCTATTTCTGTATTTCCGATAATTCTTTCAATTTCTGTATTTATCTCATGAAGAGCATTTACAAAAATCATGTCATTATTTGATATACTATCAGTTTGTGAGGTAGGTTTCAAAATATTCATCGTCAATAGTTGTTCATCTTGCACTGTTCCAGAATAAAACCTATAATAGGTTACAAAAAGACGTAGAAATTTGCCAGGTGTAGTAAAATAATTAGTATTTACAAAAGGAATATAGATTATTTTTTTGCGGATTTTGCTTGATGTACAGGGTGGCGCAAAAGTCACTGGACACTGGGCACTGATGTAAACAAAAGATTTATGTGTCATGACAAATGCATTAAAATGCATTTCCTACTGTACTACGTCTTGCTGTTACTTTCGTTTTCTTTTAACCAACTGTCCAGTGACTTTTGAGCCATCCTGTATGTAAAATATGCAATTATAAAGAATTCGAGAGAAAGTCAAATTTGAAATAATTTCTATATTTAATCTTTTCGAAACTCAACAATGGTAAATAAATATATAAACCGCTCGATTACTATACCGCGAACAATCCTTTTTGGTTTTTAATATTACTTTATATAATTTAACAGACATTTATTAAACATATTTTAAATAAATAAGTTTTTTATTTTTTTCCTTACATATATTACTTACTGAACATGAGAAAGAACCAAAAGAAATAAGAAAGAAGTAATAATAATTAGAAAACGAATGTAATTAGTATTTACTATTTCTACGCATTTAAATATTAATTAAATATGGAAATCTTAATTAGCATTCTTCGATATCGATTTGATTAAATTATATTGATTAAATATAAATTCTTTGTTTCAATATTTATAAAATTTATATAACATTTCTGTTAAATCATTGGCTAAGATTTATATAAATGTAATCAAATGAAATGTATTACACTTTTATGTAGTATTTTATATCTAAATCCAGATTATAGATTATAAATCACACATATAGAAAATTTAATTTATATTAATCAATAATTAATATTAATCGTAATATTTACCGTTGTTGTTCTCCTTCATTTTCTGTAATCTGTGAATATGATTCAGCCCCATGAGAATTTGTACTCACGGCATTTTTGTTATTCGCTGATTGTTGTACCATTAAATATGCATTATTTCCTTCGTTTCCTTCGTCAGATCTCGAATTTTCATTTATGCCGTGATAGATTTTTAAGTGATTTTCTAAACCTTTTGTTCCGGTAAATATTGTCAAATTGTGCTCGCAATAAATGCATTTTGCTTTATCATCACACTCGTTGAATGCGAAATATTGTTTTAACCAGGTACGTTTAATCATTTCTTGTATCTCTATTATTTTCTCTTTATGCATTCGTAATAAATGAAGCTTTAATGTTCTTACATTATGTGCCTGCTTTAAAAGTTTACAACAAATTTTGCATCTTGCGGCATATCCTTTTTCTTTAATATAATATTGCCATATTAAGGAAGTACTTGTGTACCTTTTCCAATCGTCGTCGTTTATTATTTTATGAACATCATATAAATGAGTTTTTAAATTTCGTGTTATACTTGGAGCTTTAAAAATTTTATCACAATAATTGCATTTTATTATATTTCTGCTTAATTGTGTCAAATGTTTCCATGCCCACAAAAATTTCTGCGATGATACGTTTTGCATGTTATTCTGTATTTTTATATCGTCAGCTCTTGAACTTTCATTTATATTGTGAAATATTTCCAAGTGGTTCGCTAAGCTATCTATTCCTTTAAATATATCCAATTTAAGATTGCAATGTATGCACCTTATTTTATGACTTTCTTGACATTTTATGACGTCAAATGCGAAATGTTGTGATAACCAAATGTCTGTAATTGTTTTTTGTATTTTCGTTATTTCTTCTTGATGTTGTGTAATTATATGACTTTGCAAATTCCAATTGTGAAACACTTTTATCAATCTATTACAAATTATGCATTTCGCATCACAATTCTCGTCTAGTGTGTAATATTGCCACATATACATATTTTGTCGATTTTTCAAGTGTTCCATCATGTAAAATGTTATGCCATGCTGAAATAAATGCTTTTTCAAACTTATACTCATTTTACCCTGTTTATAAATTTTATTACAATATTTGCACTGAATCTCTTTATTGCTTATTTTCTTATAATATGTCCATATTTCAGAATATATTTTCATTATGTACGTATATTATCACTTGTAAAAATATAATAATCCTTATAAAGTAATGTAAGTTTTATTCAAATATCCAAAAGACTGCTTGCAAGAGACTAAGTAAAGCGTATAAATTTTTGCGAAGATATAAATATTGTATATGTATGTTTGTTGTGTTAAAATCAAATAGGTTATCAGCTTATTATTTGTAATTGTTCTTAAAATAATTTGTAAACATCATCAAAATATTGTATTAATTTTGAATTTATGTATGTTAACGATTTGATACATCTATCATTTGCTTTATTAAGTTAATTTACAATTTATATTGTACTATTTCATTTTAAATATGATAATTAATTTTAATAATGATTTTCTTGCGAAATGAAATAAACATTTATATAAATTTGATTAATTGTTATTCTTTTGCCTGTTTCTAAATAATTAATAATATTTCTGACCATCGTAAACAATTTATTATTTATTAGCATATTCAATTTATAAAACAATGCAAGTATATAATTTAAGTTAGATTTATATGCA